AATAATGTGGAGGAAGGGATATAAAACAATTAAAGCTCTGTTAAGGAAGTGCGGCGCTGACAGGCAGGTGCAACAGAAACCCAACAATGGAGTGTGAAGGGCTGGTGAGCAGATCAATGTGATACGTGACGTTTATCATGAACGTTGCCAAATACTTTACTTGACTGGACACATTTAACATTTATAATAGACACATGTCATAATAGGGTAAATGTGATACACTAATATTAAATTACTTCCCTGAAAAGCATACTCCTGCTTATCTTAGGATCACATACTGATTTTTTTTGGCATCGTCTAATGATTAGGTGGGACAGTTTTATAGGATCGACTAACGTTAAAGCATCCAATAATACATCCGAAACTGAACCAGTAAGTCGAGTCCTTTAGAGTATCTTTCATCAAGTGCCACAGGAACATAAATCACATGTTTTCCACGATATTGGCCTGTTCTTTGAGACGAATCTGGAGGAAAATATTTAAACTTCCCCTCTGCCTCAGACAACAGTTTTGTAAGAATTGGGTTTCTGCACATTGTTATTCGTCCGACAGTGGAGAAGAAATGCTCTGGCACCAAATGAAAGGGGGGGAGGTCTCGTTGGAACATTAGCTATTCATGCACTTGTATTCCCCTGGAGGGACGGGATCAGGAATCCCACCCATTTACGAGAAACGCAACGTCTTAAGGAAACTGATCCAGATCTGAGAGATCAGGGTGGAGCGCTGCTTAGCTGTTTTTTCTTCACTCTCAATAACAAAATATTGCTTTTCACTTTCTGAAAAGGCATTATCTGTCTTTTGAGGAGATTTAACTGTCACTCTTTTACAGAATGACTGGCATTTGAAAGAAACTGCAAGGGGCTATTTGAAATACCTCTCAAATCTTGAGGGTAAAAAGGGCCCCCTTCTGACGGTAAACCTGTCTTTGCTCCATCACTTTCATCCACAAACAAAGCATCTCTCAAATTGCTTCTCACGGCATATTCCGCATATTATAGACCTATACCAGCAACAATACTTGATCCAGAACCAGAATCCAAACAGAGTAGAGCCTGGACTCACAAACATCACATCATGTGTTTCTGATCAGGAATCTTAACATCTAGATACAGATGTTGTCCCTTTACTAAAAAGTGACGTATCGTGGTGAAGATGGTGATGTTCACAGTGTACTTTAGTATAATGCTGAACTCCTCTGGTCCTTTTTCCCTATGATTTATTTATTTTTTAATATTTTGAAATGTTTTGCCTGTGGAGTTTGTTCCATTTCCACGTCTTTAAGGTACACAGGACTATTTACACAATATTACTATATGGGTGTTATTAACATGATGGCAATATTTAATTCACAGTAAATGTAAATACATGTTTTTTTTCATTTTCTCTATCTCCAGCCTTGCTTTTAACAGCTTAACTTCACATCCATAAATGCACTCTTTATTACCCACCATCCAATCCCCAGTCAAACCACCCTACTTGCCCCCATAAACCACACACTGATCCCCACAATTTCAGCCATAAACCTCCCACCAGAGAGACTCCATCTTTAACTCCATGTCCAGATCAACAACAACAATGCCCCCGCAGCATCAGATGGACAGCCATAAATCACAACCCCATACACACCCAGGAGAGTCCATAAATAGTGTTACAGTTATGAGGGTAGAGACATGGTGGTGAGCCCCCGGTCCCCCCGAGGGTTCTGCAGGCTGAGGCAGCATGCGAGCCACCGTCCCATAACTCTCCCATTCTTCCAGTGACAGAAAGACTTTTCATGCTCTCATTTACTTGTGAATAAATCATAGAGGGGAAACACTGCCATGCTCTTATTCTTCGTTTTCCACCAGCAATGATGGAGGGTTGTCTGGAAGCGTTCTACAGAGAAGAACCAGATGTTTGGGTGGAGACTGTGTGAGACAAAGAGAGACAGAGATAAGGAAAAAGACAGGGACAGGGAGGTTGAGACAAGTTATTTCCAAGTTACCCATGATGATTTTTACCAAAATAAGAGGGCAAATTATGACAGACAGTATGATGGTATAAGGACCTGAACGTATCAAGGTTAATGAAACGAGAACCAACAAGTTAAAGTCTTTCAAGTGGTGAAACTGAACACAATACCATTTCGGGGTGCGATTTTTAAGGTACTTCACATGAATATTTCCATTTGCTGCTCTACTTTATACTTTTACTCGACATTTTCCAAGCAATTGTTGTACTTTTTACCCCATCAAATGTATTTGACAACATGTGTTACTAGTAGTTACTTTCAAGATTCAGATTATAACTGTGTATAAAACTAAACTATGACTTTGAAGAACTAACGCTGATGTACTTTTTGATTAAGCTACCAAGCAGTTATGAAAGTTGTTGACATTAGTCTAACCCTAACATCTGCAACATTATCCGAATGCATGCATCTATAATTATAATACAGTGATATAGATATAATTCTGACGTGGACCATTGTGCATAACGAGTGCTTTTATTATTTTTACGAAAATGTTTGAATGAAGGACCTATACTCATATTGTTTGTTTGATACACTATAGTATTAGTACATTACCTTCAATAAGAGAGTAACATCAAGATTTGTTATCATCTTCAGAATATGAGTAACACCTTGGTTAGACAAATTATGTGATGCGTTTGTAAATAGAAACAACCCCCTGGATCTCCCCTTAAAGTTTAATTTCACACCAGACTAAATACACTTTTCATACATTTTCATGCCCTTCTCCTTCAACACTTCCTTGCTAATCAGCGTACTGTATCACCAATCAGTTACAGCCATCTTTAACCACACAGATGCCAGACCATGGGAATTGATACATTTAATCCTTTCACTTTTATAAAGGGGGTTTAAGCATGGCCATCGTCTGAGGGGTCGGGCGGTTGTTGCAAGTGTGTTTCTGTTCAACCCCCATGACTGAATCTATTTTCTGAGGCACCTATGACACTCATCTGGACCACAACAATGCCCCCTTTCTCCTTTCCGCCTCACGCTTGGCTGGCTTCTCTGAATACAACCCAGGGCCAAATAATCCATACCCCTGAACCCCCACACAGCACTCACATACGTAGAAACACACATGAATACACATGTTGGCACTTAAATGGTCACATGTGTTTTGTCTCACTGGAAATGTAAGTCTCACTTCTTGTAGGATCTACCAACACACTCCTAAAACTCTTAGCTTAAAGTGGACCTATTATGCTATATTGGGAACCTATATTTTAGGGCCATACCTATCCAAAACATGTCTGTGAAGTTTTTTGCTTAAAATACCAAACAGATCACCCATTGTAGCCATGGCTCATACTGCTCATACACCTCTTTTGAAGCCCTGTTAGAGAAACGCGGATTTTGGGTCCTTAGCTTAAAAAAAAAAAAAGAGGAGGAGGAGGCAGAGCTAATGCCTGATCATAATTCTACCGGAGATAAAGTTAAATTCTGCTGTGATAAAACGCCATCCTGTTCTAAACCACATCAAGGATTATTTGCCTTTTCTCTTGCGGGTTTATCACAAGGTGAGTTCCTTTTTTTATTTCCTGCTTTTTAAACACATGCGCTCTACAGCAGTGTTTCTCAAACTTTTTCATACCAAGGACCACTTAACCAATAAAAAAATGAAAATGGTACAAACAAGTGGCAACATGTGTGATGAATGTGTTGCGCTGGGCTATATCATGCAATTGAAAGTGAAACTTAAGCTCGCTCCATTGCGGAGATATTCCCACGAGAGGGCGGAAAACTTAAATTTATTTATTTATTTCAAATGTGAAATTTTACCAATATACTCACGGACCACTAGGGGGCACTCACGGACCACCAGTGGTTCGCGGACCACACTTTGAGAAGCACTACTCTACAGTACAGGTTAGCTCTGAGTGTTAGCGAGGCTTGCTAATGTAAACAAAGACGAGATAACCCAAAACACGTCAGGCATTGTTTCTGATGGCAACTTTCTGTGGGTCCGCCGCCGATATTACGTCATATCTGCAGCAAATCTGCATCCGCTCGTTGTACCCCCATTTTTAAAAGATTTGGGTGCGGAGGAAAAGAGAAAGGGTTTTATTTTCTGACGCTGTGTGACTTCCCTGACACACCGGGGACACATATTTATGTATAAAAGACCTCAAAAACTGCATTTTGCATGATAGGTCCCCTTTAAGTAAACACCTACACATGATCAACTTGTATTCACTCAGAGCACTAAATAAAACAGGCACACTATACATGCTGGAACACTTGAACATACACAAGAGAGCAAATCAGAATCAGAAAATTCAGAAATACAACACTGCCCTCATGTGGAGTGATTGAAGAAATACTTTTATTTTAATTCCTCTTCAATATAAATTAAAAAGAAATATCAAAACAGTGTCCACTCTTGGGTTTATCAGTCTTATTTTGATCAAAGTTGATCCACATTTGGATATACAACTCTTTAAACTGAGGACAGGAAATCAATCTAACTCTAAATAATGTGAACAATTGTCCACTGTATTAAACTGTACACAGATACTTCCTATGGGTTTTCTCTTAACTTAACCTTTCACTTGGAACAGTTATGCTATTATTATGCATAATACTGAGTTGTGTTTGAATTACAACACAAACCCTTTTATTTCATATCATTTCTTACAATCCATTTGGCTTGAATACATACAACACAAAAGTATTACAAACTATAGCCCATTCATTCACAGGCACCCAGTGTACAAGGACTATAAGTGCAGCTGTAAAACAAACTTTAAACTTACAAGACAAAAAATAAGGACATCATTGAGAGAGTAAACAATGATATTTTCCAGGTTTTTATTATATATTTAAAAAAAGAAAAACATAAGAAAAATAATATCATGGGATAAAAAGTGAATAATTGAATGTTTAGATATGCCTTTGAATGGAGTAGTTATACAGATGTTGCCTGTTACCACACTCATACGTCTAGTTTCTGTGTGAATAGCTGATAAGCAGCTATCAGTGTCCGGTCTAAAATAGAAACATCACAACGTCGTCACAGTGGGTGAATATGGTTACTTTGAGATGGGCTGAGCCGCTTTGTTCTGGACACGATCCACGCCTCACATTATCTGATCTTCAGCCTGCGTGTTGAAACATAGCGGATGCTCACAGAGAATAACCACAGGAACAAGTAAGAGTTTATGTTCTAACTTTAACCTATTGGCAATTACATTGGCTAAAAATACATTGTTCAATAGTGGGTCTGCACTGTTCGTTAATCAAAAAATGTGCAATCTTTTCTTTATTTTGCTCTGTTGATTTTGTGTTATGAATAACTGAGACAGTCTTGTTGATAACAATTTTTTTTTGTTGCTATTTTAATGTATTATTTTTTTTTTTATTGTCAAGCTGAAGCTTTGATGCAAATATCCAAGAGATCAGAGATTCCTTTCCATATTTCTTCAGTATTAAAGGCTATTGATTTTCTATTTTGTACATACATTAAAAGACAAATATAAGCTCCTCTGCTTTGCAAGATGTCTTTGCATTGATCTAAAGTTCTACAAAACAGCAGTATTCTTGTTCTTGTCCTGTATTTTAACACTTTGCTGTTTGCTCTGGGTTATATATTTGGAGTGCTTTATTTAATATGATTGTTGCATCTAATTTGTTGTATTGTCCCCGAGTGTTTTTATGGTTAATGATGCAAAATTATATTTCTTTACAGCCTTCGATACAGCTTATGTTAAAACTGCTGTATTTACCTCTCAGTAGGAGTGTAGTGCTCCCCTCTCTTTGGCCCCCCCGCAGCCAGTTGGCTGGCTTTGATAAGAGACTGAAGGCGATGAGGTAACCATTCGACTGCTTATCTTCACAGCCATTTAAAGGGCTGGTGCTTCTCGGGGTTATTTATCTTGTCTTTAAACACGTGGATTTTCGCCATCGCATTATCAATTCACTGTTTAATTCTCTGTAGTGACTGAAAAGTTTGAATATGTTGTTCGATATGAAATAATCAAACAAACACTTTTACAGTCACATTTTCTTGAACATCAGTACGCTTTCCTCGAATTTAGTCAGAAGAACCGAAGTAACTTTAAGGCACCCTTGGCATATCTAATTCAAGTAACTGAAAACATTTATTCCAAACACTTGCATGTTATAGGGCTTGATTGTTGGTGAATTTACACACTTTGACTAATTAGCACTTAGTACACTGTGATTTAACTAAATGTAAAACTTAATTAACACAATCCACATATGTGCTTAGCTCCTACATTGGCTAGACCACTTTATTTTTAACTGCAGTCAGTTGCAAAAAAGACAGATAAAACACACACAGACATGCTTGCAAACACACACACTCACACATTTCTGTCAGGAAATACTACTTATCTTCTTCTGAGTGCGGCATCATTTACCAAAATGTGCCATCAGGGGGCGACATCTCACAATCTTCTTTCTCACATCCATGCCACATCGAGAGTTCAGAGTAAATATGTGAAAATAACCATTGTCTGCAGTACATTATTAACTTTAACATAGTGGACCTTTTTATAAACCGAGGCTTTGATAGATGACGTGTATACACAGCAGGACTGTGGATATATATTTTTCACTATAGGTTAGTGATATATCTGTTTCATTGCTGCTGCTGTGCTTTGCATCATCTTTGTGTCTCCCTGTCTGACAGCAACTAATTGTAATGTAATACTCAAACCATTCACAAGAGTTTGGCCAAAACATACAGTGAGTTGTTCATTTTTGGAGAAAAACATGAGGGGAAGGGATACAGAAAGACATTAAGGTGACACAGAATTGAAAAAAGCCCACAAATAATTTCACCATAATCTGTCTCCTCAGACATGGCAGTGAGCAGGCTGTGAGGAGGGGAAACCTCGTAATCTGTCCCGCCTGCCGCTCACTGCAGCCAGCAGTGAAGGGTGATGCTCAGGATAGCTTCCCTAATAGGGTTACATGATAGCACATGTCAGTGAAAGGGCACCTGGATAGACGAACATCTAAACACACTCTACACCACAAGAGTAGTCAGGGGTGCATTTTTCACCCCCGTGCTAGGAGTTAAAGGTCCCCTATTATACTATTTTTCATCAATATAGTTCTCAGTTATATACAAAACATGTCTCTGAAGTATTTGGCTCGAAATACCCAACAGATCATGCATTGTAGCATCCCATAATCCCCTCTGTTTCAGCCCTGTTTCAAAAGTGCTGATTCTGTGTGTGTTACTTTAGATGAAAATAAGGAGGAGATTCCGGTGATAAGGTGGGCGGGTGTTACCTTGGTTGGTTATTGGTTAACACAAGCCAAAAAAACATGATGGCATCACAAAGTGGCCAACATCTGATCAGCTCATTTTCAGACAGGATTTTATATAAATGGATCAGGACAAAAAGAGAGTGAATCTTTTTTCCTGAAACTTTCAGAATCTCTTTCCACAGAGGGGACAAATGTTTATGTATGACATGAAAAAGTGGATTTTGAACCATAGCTGACCTTTAAAGTCATTACAGCTGAGAGAGTTGACTAGAAATTGTACATTGCCTATAGCTTAAGGATTCCCTTTTCTCCCAGATATCACTGAAGTCCTGTTTGAGTATCTGGTGCCTGAGAGGATGGAGCCAGAGGCAGAGCGGGAGTCTGAGTCTGAGGCCTGGGTTCCAGACAACAGCCAGGCCGGGCCTTCCTCTCCGGACTCCTCTGGGATCGAGGGAACCGTCGACCGGCTGCAGGAGATGATGAGCGGCATGGAGACGCTGCTGACAGACATGGAGGGGTTACGGAGCGACTGCAGCCAGCAGAATGCCGAGCTGATAAGTGCAGCGCTGGACCTGAGGACGCAGCAGGAAGAGATAAAGGAGGGTTACTCTGAGTTGTCCAGGGAGATGCAGGAGCTCCTCGACACAGTGCAAGGCTTTTTGGGCACCAAGTGTGACCAACCCTCAGAGAAGGAAGAATTAGCTGAGCAGCAGAGAGAGCCCAAAGAGACGGAGAGTGACTGACAGACTTTAAAGTTGCTAATTTAGGAGATGCAACTGCGATGTGTCAGGTTGTGAATCTGGATGCATGAGACAAAATCTGGGTGGCATGCGTTTGGAAGTTGTGTGAGAAGCTGAGTTTTTTTAAAAAGATCGATTTTTAAATTACATTTTACGACGTTTTGTTGAGCAAATTGTTCTTTTAGGTCTATATCTGAAAATCTGTCCACTGAAAAAGAGTTTCTAATATGCATGATTCGTTTTCAGTTCAGTAAATATATCACTGTGCATACAACTTAAAAAACAACAACCATAAAACGGAATAAATACCTCTCTGTCGTGTACTCTTAATAAAACATCATGAGTTTAACAAGGCTACAATTTGTTGCATAGCTTACTTTCTAGATTGCCACGTGCCACTGACTTTAACACAAGCGATGACAAGATCATAATCCTGCGCTGCATTTGAACACATGATTTATATGCCTCCTACTGTCATCTGTATTTCTGCTACCACCCAGAAACAAACACACACACTTCACAGCTATCATTTTCCAGCACCAAGGTACTTTATGTTGACAGATATGATTTAAGTATGTTACTCTCTTCAGCCTGGATGGCTCCTCCAGCTTCTTCTTTGATGAATTTCTGACACAGGAATGCTTCTCTTCTTTTGGTACATCTTCCATATTCTCTCCCCATCCAAGCTCCACTGTAGTTTCGTGCTAAAATAAACCTAAATGTGATGTTTACTTCCCACCAGCACCCCTGCTGCTACCCACTGGTCTGTATTTAGTGGTCAGGGGATGTGTGAAGGGAACAATCGGTGGCCAGCAACCTGAAAAGAAATCAAGGACCTTCAAGGTCCCTCCACCTTAAATTTCATTTTAGTGGGTTCTTATGTCATGTACACAGGTTATGCAACCACTTAATTATGTGTACCAAAATATTCTCTTCCTCTTCTGTGTTGGAACAAACTTAATGCAAATGTTACGCAAACGCCCATATTTGTTTTCGAAATGTCTCAAAGTAAAACATGTGACTGGTATTGAAAATACTTGATATAAATATCATCATGAGTAGACCCACAGCCTGAGGGTCTTAAGAAGAAATTATAGCTTATGTTAAATGTTAAAAAAAGAAGTACCAATCTTTTTTTGAGGGATTCTGTTTACGTGTGGCTGAAACCTGACACTATATAGGCTGAGGGGTTGGTGAGCAGAGAGGGTGAGGAGAAGCAGTGCAGCCGTGCCTACCTTCATCACTACTGAGGTGTTCATCTCTCTGCTGCTCACAACCAGCCGGAGTCACTTCAAGAAGGTAAGACATGATTTGATGGCATTCACGGTTTCATTTATCCAGGTTTAAACCTTTTGCACATTCATGTCTAAGATATTAGCAAAGAAATCTCTAGAGACATCAAGAAATGTAGCTTTCATCTCGTATGGAATTATCATTTATATTGAGTATTACAATTTAAGGTGTTTTCAGTGGTGGCATGTAACAAAGTTCATTACGTTTTGTATGTATGAGTCTTTTCCTTCCATGCCATTTTAAATTTCTGCTCTTCCACATATTGGAAGAGTAGGGACATATTGTATTTTCTACCCTACAGTGAATTCATCTGACAACTTTAGAAGTGGGTATTTTTACACACAAAACATATGATGCTTTAAAACAGGATGTTTTGTTATAAATTGAAATACCCAACATTTTCTTTAAATACAGCTTGAATGTTAACTCAATTAATAATTATTTGTAAAAAATTGATTGGAAACTGTTTTCTATAATCTATTGACATTCTTTATGTGAAAACATGAAATGGTTCCAGCTGCGTTCTTAAAAAAAAAAGAACAAGCATTGTGACAACAATTATACAATTATATATTAACATAATAGTATAGTTAATTTTCCTGATTATACTGATTATAGAACTGTAACTTCGTACACTTTGGTATGAGAAAAATATCTGAATACTACTCCACCATTGTTTTTCTTCTCATTGCTATTCTCACCAACAGTTCGGCAGAAGTTTCTAGTGAAAATGAATATTGTACAAGTCCTGGGTCTCCTACAGCTGCTGGCTGTACCTGCTTTCACTGTAAGTCTCAGTATTAACAATATCTATAATATCGTTCCAATTGCATGTCCGTAACAAGTGATTTAATACAGATATAAATAGCAAAGAACACTTTGTACAGTACGTCCAACATCTCAACAGGCAAAGGCACACTATGTTATTTCTGACACATGTGGTGTTTATGTGCCACAAAGAGAGTTTATGCAAAGTGTTGGGGATGGTTTGTGGCTAAATGTTCCAGTTTCTATTTCAGTGTCTCCAGGATGCTCATAATGTGTGTTAGTGGTTGGTGGAGTGGGATATGGTGATGTGTGAGAGCATGTATGTGTTCCAGAGGCTGGAGGAGTGACTAGTATTTTTCTTTTTTCAGCTGATAACGCCAAGCCATGACTACTGGGAAGAGTTTACAGCCTACGGGCCCTGCAGCCGCACCTGTGGCACAGGCGTGGCAATGAGAACCAGGAAATGTGTCACCTCCAGGTTAGAAATAGGGTGACACGATGGAACATATACTGTACTAAAGATTTTACAATACTTAAAAGTAGGACAGTAATTATTTGTTTGAAATCCTCTTTTTTTCCAGTTACTACTATATTCTATATAAATGATCATAATCATATTATTGAAGTGCACCTGATCTGCATGACCAATAAAGCCAAATACATTTAACAATAAAGAGAGTTATCTGGCTTTTATGTTATTAATATTATTTTTCTTTTCTCTTATAGGACTGATGGAGGGCATAACTGCCTAGGATCCTCTAAGTCCTTCCAAACCTGCAACACACAGGTAATTTGAGGCCTCTTTATTAATGAGATCCACCCACAACCTTTATTAATGTATCCTAAAACATGCCAATAATCCAACATTGTGTCACAACAGGCATGTGCAGCTGGAACCAGGGACTACAGGCAGGAGCAGTGCTCCCAGTTTGACAGAACGGACTTTCAGAGCAAACACCATACATGGGTGCCTTTTTATGGATGTATGTAAAAGACCTATTATGTACTGTACATTTTCTTAAGTGTTTATGATTTATTATGAGATGTATTTAACATTATTGGATTACCAGAGGTGTTGGTGTTGACTAAGTCCTCACTGACACCCTGGCAAACGATCTAAAAGTTAGTGTTGCTGTTTGATGTATTTACCGATCTATTATTTGTTCTGTAGCGGCCAATCCATGTGAGCTGAGCTGTGTTCCAAGAGGGCAGAACTTCTTCTACAGACACAGACCATCAGTGGTTGATGGGACACCGTGCTATGTGGGCCGCACTGATATCTGTGTGGATGGAGTCTGCAGGGTGGGAACAATAATTAGATCCATAATGCAATGACAGACTTTCAGTGCTTCATAATGTACTGTTTATCTATAGAATATCATTGCCTATTCTCCTAAATAAGTAGCTTTTATTTGCGTTTACAAGCACAGTGGTGTAATGAAAGAAATGTGTCTTTTCAGGTTCTGGTCCATGGAGAGTTTATGGGCTTGGATGAAGACACTAATTCTGTTCACTCTGCTAACATCATTGCTACTCGCCCAAGGGAGACACTTACATACCACTACAAAACTGGTGTCTATGGCCAGTGCTCTGCCTCTTGCAATGGAGGCATGCAGTACCGCAGTGTGGAGTGCTGGGTTCAGGACACAGTAAACCCCCGTGTGGTGGAGGAGTCTCACTGCATCAACCAGCGCCTGCAGAGGCCACAGAGCCAGCAGGCCTGCAACATGCATCCCTGTGCCGAGTACAGCGTCTCCAGCTTCAGCGTGGTGTGTACCTCACAGAGAACTTTATAGTTATATATATAACAGACAGGCAATGGCATGTTGTTGCTCGCAATTAAATGAAAATAAGTTAAAGCATTAATGAGAATAGAAAGATAGAATCCAATACTTACACCGTACAGAATGTAAAGCAAAGTGGCTAAGAGTACCATTTCATTATCACTTTTCCTATGTTTTTGCACAGTCCAAGGGTGGAAAGACACATCGATATCTTTGTCATTGGAAACATTGAGATTTAAGTTAAATGTGATACCAATTTAAAATAATTGTATATGATATAGAGCCGATCAACTGTCTTGATTATAGTCTCATATATTGTAATTTTCCTGAGGTTAGTCAAGTCAGGTCACTGTTATTTGTAACCCAAACAATATCACAAATCACACATGTCTCAGGGGACTTACATTCTATAGCATACACCACCATTTGTCCTTTTTGACCATAGATCCAGAATAAGTTAAACTTACCACCATCAAGGGATATATTTGTATATGGAAAAACCCTTAGGAAAATGAAAATACAAGGACAATAAAGACAATCCTGGAAACAAAATGATATGCACCATGATTTATTTGGTAATGATGGTTTGCTGTGGGACTGACATTTTAAACTATCTTGTCATATATGATGCTCAGTGCTCGGTGACTTGTGGGGAAGGCCAGCAGAGGAGGGAGGTGTTCTGCGTGGGTCCGGGAGGTGAACGCCTGGCTGACCACGCCTGCAACGGACTGACAAGATCCTCTTCTGTCCAGGCCTGTCGTAGACCCGCCTGTTACACACACATCACCTGGCATGTGACCGACTACAGCCTGGTAGGTAACATGCAGAGTGTTGTGGACTGGGAAGGAACCTTTGCCTCTCCCCACATTATTCACCCTCTCCTCTCCTGTCTCTGCAGTGCACCATGAGCTGTGGTGGTGGTGTGAGGGAGAGGAGAGTGAGCTGTTTTGATACAGATTTGAACCCCTACCCAGAGGCCCGGTGTGGAACAGCTAGCAGACCCGTCTCTGTGGAAACATGCAACTCACAGCCATGCCACGCAGCACAAAGTGAGCCAAATCTGAACCAGTCAAACTCTTTTGGTTTTATTGTCTTTGCATGTTTGTATACTAATGTACCTTATCTTTAGTGGTCCCAAGTGTGCAGGATCCAAGGGCACATGAAACCACCACAAGAGGATTTGTGCCCCATGTTCCAGAAGACCCTTCAGGTATGTACAGCATGTACAGCATGTTTTATTAAAATGTTATTCTCTTTCTACGCATTTAAAATGAAATTATTTTTGAATGTGTAGATTAAGCAGTGGTTAAGAAAATGTGGTAATACATATTTTATATGACACACGACAAGTTATTTAAGCACAGGCATGACTTGATTATTTTCAAGTCAATTCCTCCTCAGGCTGTAAAGAAATGTTGCCCTTATGTTGTCATTTTTAAAAGTCAAACTTACATCACTTTTGACAATTTCTTTAATGGGTTTTTAACACAACCCCTGGGCTGAGTTATGCAATCATGTACAGCAATATAATCACATAGATGGCATATCAGCCCATCCCTTCCTCCACCACCAACCACTCACCCCCAATTACCACATCCGAGCCACACACTCTACATGTATATAGTCTAAAAACATATTCAGCTGAACATAACTACTACTAAATAAAATCCCAACCCTTCAAAAAGACACATATAAACACATATTTACAGGTCTCTGGCATGTACAGTATGCTTGTTTGACCATGTCTGCATCTGTGTTTACTTGTGATAGCTTCCAGGCCACAAACAAACAGTGTCTACCCTCCTGTGACTGGTCCTCAATGCGCACAGTCACACTATGGCTGCTGTCCTGACGGTCATACCTCCGCCGCGGGGCCCAGGAATGAGGGCTGCTCCCTAAATGACTGTATTCACACCAGGTAACACTGCTCCCTTAACCCATTAAATCACATACATCTGTTAATAAATAGCATATTATGTAAAATCGAAGACCTTCTAACAATCTCTTTTCTGCAGATTTGGCTGTTGTTTGGATGGAGTGACTCAAGCTCAAGGATTTGCAAGGGCTGGATGTCCTGAATACCGGACAGCTGTGGTAAGAATAACATCTGTTTCTCATTATGATTCAATAAACAGGATACTGAGGTTACTCAAAATGTATTTATTCTTTATGGAATGTGCCATATATATATATATATATATATGTATATATATGTATATAAGTATAGGGTATTTTTGGCTCTTGCAAAGCTTTAGTATATAAGTATAGGGTATTTTTGGCTCTCTGCAAGCTTTGGCAAGTCTGAGAAAATAATCATAAGGATGTTTGTGGTAATAGGTTGTCTTTTTACCACAAAAGCCTGGGTATTCCCCAGTTTCTTTTTAAAGATTGACCCATTTTACCAACTAAATTGTTTATGAACATCCTCTAACTAAAACCTGCTACATATATATATATATATGTTCTAGCTATGTACTGGCTATACAGGACAATTGACCATCTTTCTTTTGTCTTTCTTTTTTTGTCTTTCTTTTTTTCTAAGCAACACACACCACCTCCTACTGCCCCTCCAGCCAGTGGCAATGTGTGCTCCATGCCTCGCGATGAAGGCTCCTGCGACAGATGGGCGGTGCGCTTCTTCTTTGACTCTGGCACTGGCAAATGTACTGAGTTTTGGTATGGAAGCTGCCAGGGCAATGCCAATAACTTTATGTCCCTGGCAGCATGCCAGAGAGAGTGTGGTGGTGTAGTGAGGAGGGATCCCCCAACTACACCTCGCAGAGGGACCCCAAGGAGAGGATCCCCCAGCGGGGCATAACCATCCACACAATGAATACCTCATAATCAGTACTGTCAACACAGCATTTATTTTAACATCAGACTTTGGATTATAAATGATTTAGATCACATTATAACTGACACAATCCCAGCTCAGGGTTCTGATTTTGTTTGCAGTTTGTTTTGGTATTTTGTTTGTGATGTTCAAAATATTCACTTTCACACATATATTTTGCCTTTTAGATCATATACAATTCAATGATGTCAATGTGATAACCCAAGATAAATCATTAACCAAATCAATAAATGTTGAAATATCCGGTAATAAAACCCGAGTGTGGTCTATTTTTGCAATGTTTCCAAGACTACTGTTTTATTTTATTCCTCAATTTTTTGTTTTTTACAAAACAAAATACAGTGGTGTAATATAAAATTCTACATTTACTGAGTTAGTAAAATATGGTTTATTTACTTTTACTATCGATTCCTATTTTCTAAATTATGTATGGCCTAGATTTCAGGAGCAAACATTGTGGCTTCCTAGTTGTGTTGGCAAGTTAGAGTTTAAAAACATGTGTCAATGTTAGCATAAAATATTATCAGCCAGATTTTGATTAGGAAAAAAGGTTAATACTGTCTCACCACAGAACAAAAATTATGTTTAGAAAATACTGATGACTGATGATGACCAGACTTTTACTTTGAAACATATTTCTTTTATTTTGAAGGGACCTAACTTTACAACCGGAAATAAACGCATTTCATTTCCTCTGAGTATTTTTCTGCAAACAGCTGGCTACATTCATCGCACGGGGAATTGAAAAGCAATAAACACCGAGTTATTTTTGTCAGTTTTTCTTTCCTAACAATCAGACAGTGTCTGCAGTCAGCATAACCATGGTAAGAGTGTTTGGTTTTACGTTTTGATATGTTAAAACGCACGCAGTATCAGCTATATTAGCTCCTGTTAATCCATCACAGCTAAAGCTAAGCTAACAAGCTACGATGCTAATATTTCTCTGTCAATGGTGTCTTTTCCAGTTTCTTCGTTTGCTATGAACATCTCAAGATAAAATGTAATAATTAACTCCTCTTTATTTGACTTCTTAATGTGGAATCAGTTACTTATGTGGGACCTATTGTAAAATAGTAATACGTTAAAGCCACAGTAAGTCATTTGATTAAAAATAATGTGCATTTATCTCGTGTGATTCCTGGAGAAATGTACTCTAAATGCTTGGTTTTTCACAGTAACAGATACAACTGGGAATTAATGTGATGTGATTTAACGTAATGTTATTGTATTAATTTGTGTATTTAATATTATAAATCATCTTTACAGTCGCACACAATTTTGCTTGTTCAACCAACCAAGAGACCAGAGGGCCGCACATATGCTGACTATGAGTCAGTGAATGAATGTATGGAGGGTAAGTCTTCTTCAGCTGTTTTTTAAATATTTATCTTAACCCATACTCTGGAACTAGCGACATTACATTTTTGTTTAAACAACATTCCTCACCCTTGTAATAATTATTAATTTGAACATATATCAGCATCAGAAACATATTTATTGCCAAGTAGGATAACGCATACTAGGAATTGTCCCTAGTGTATATTACATAAACAGAGTCAAAGAAGATAAGTTACCAACAAATAAAACCAGAATAACATTAAAATATAGAGCAATATTTACATGAAATATAGATATACCAAAAAAATATCTACAGAATAATATGACTAAATACTCGTAAAAAATATGTGCAATTTTGGTTGGAAAGGTGGAAAGCTGTGCAGATATTAGATGTATTTGATATTATTTAGTGCTATCTGTGCCATTTAAGCTAAGGTGTCCACGGGTGCTTTGAAAGGCGCCTCTAAATAGAATGAATTATTATTGATATTTTGATGTTTATTAAACATAAATAGTTTTGTTATTATTCAGCATGTCCTGCACCCTTCTTCCAGGTGTTTGCAAAATGTATGAAGAGCATCTTAAGAGGATGAATCCAAACAGTCCCTCCATAACATACGACATAAGTCAGTTGTTTGACTTCATTGACGACTTGGCAGACCTGAGCTGTCTGGTGTAAGTATGATCTGCCTATCCATTCGAATGAAAATCAACCTTGCATGAAATGTGTTGGTCACTACCATTGAAAGTATAATTTGCTTTGCATACAGATACAGAGCGGACACTCAAACATACCAACCATACAACAAAGACTGGATCAAGGAGAAGATATATGTCCTGCTGCGGCGTCAGGCTCAGCAGGCAGCAAAGTGAACGCATCAGTAAGGAGTTGTCCTGCTAAACACTTGGAAGGAGTTTATGCTGCACTATTTTTCTACAGTGTCTTGAAGATCTGTGTATAAGGACAACATTGTCAGTTTGACAAAGGGAAGGGTTTACATACTACACCATACATTGGGAAAGGAAAGGGTTTGAGAACTGGGGACATTTCCAAAATGTGGGGCTTTATATAGAAAGGGAGTCGCGCTCTGCCGCCTACGTATGTTTGTTATTAGTTACACTAAGGTCTTGGTGGGGAGAATGTCTGCCACGACTAACTTATTGATGGAGTGTGATCTGTGCTGGGAGAAATGTTCCTGGACTAGATAAAAACTGTTTTTTTGGTTTTAGTAGTGTTTTTGTTTCCCTAGAAGTGGTTACATTTTCTTATACATTTACTGAGCAGTTGGATTTTGACATTCTTTTCACTGTGAATGCCGGTAATTTAATTTTTAAATAAAATAAATAATCTGCATAACTGACTCCAGAATATTTACTTTACATATCAGTCTATGATTTCTGTCACTGTATCCTACCATCATGGGGGAGATGTTTTTTTTGTTGTAAACATGTTGATTTATAATAACGCAGTTTGAGTTAAACAACAGTTACCTAAACAAAAATATTGTTTTCTTACTGGTCTCCACTCTCTACTATACAACAGATATCACAATGAAGAAGAAACATTTCCTGTTCATTCAGAATCTCAGTATAGAAATTGCTGGTCGACAAGGATCTACATATGGATTTGTGTATGTGTTTAATGGTTGGATTATCTGTTTAATTAAATGCAGAATTGCTGGATGATAAATCATAAAAGAAAGAATGGAAACATTATTTATTGTGATATTAAACTGAGCTGCTATGTCACTGTTTCTTTAAATGTGGCGGCTGCCCTGTTGTTGCTGTGCTGGAAACCCCGTACCTACTCTGAAGGGACCCAAGATGGCTGATTACTCACGGGGGGGGCAGTTAGCAATTATCTGAACAAAAACGTCGGGAATGAATGGCAAATAGCCTTGTAATGTAAAGCGCAACATTTCAGTAATTATACGACTACAGTTGGTTGGTTTGCAATTTTTTTGGGACGCATGAATACCAGTAAGGGGAGGGTGGTCTCTCCGCGGCCCCGAGCCAGAACATGGCGGAACACTTGGGGAAGAAATAGCAGCTAACGCTAGCTAGCTGGCGCAATATTCAGACACAATTAGAAACATTGATCCAGGGTAAACACGTCTGCGGTCGACAAGTGTCAAATAATGTTATCGGTGTTCCGTTTTTGTCATTTTGCTTCAAATGGTTGTTTAATATGTGTAGCGTAGGCTGTTAGCGTACTAGCTAGTTAACTCGTTCGGTTTTCTAGCTAACAGGCTAACGTACACACTGTACTAACAAACAGGCGGATTGTTTTGGGACCAGAGGTCGTAACGGTGGGGCTTATTCTACGTTTCCTCTGTGTGGTCGGACTTTCAAATATTTATCAGGGCTTGTTTTTGTGAATTAACACGTTAGCTAACGCCAATGTCCTCCGCACTGTAAATTAGACTGTCGTTAGCTTGACACAATGGCTGTTTTTATATGGCGCTACAATACTGGTGATATAAGTTTGAAGGCAGCTCGTTAAAATAATCAGATATTGTAGTTTGAATCGTCGTCTTCCTGGATAGTCGTATCATTCAAATAGCTGTCAGCCCGGTTGACCCCTGACACGAGTTAAGTTAGTCCTGGATTGTATAAGTGATCGGGTCTAAAATAAGTGAATTAAAGTTGTGGCGTTACTAGGTGAAGCAGACCCCCTGTAAAGTCAAAGAAGGTCCGGAAGGGGGAAACCGGTCACAACTACCTGCCAGGATGACGGACACTCGTCGACGAGTCAAAGTCTATACCCTGAATGAGGACAGACAGTGGGATGACCGTGGGACTGGACACGTCTCCTCGGGATATGTGGAGCGTTTGAAAGGCACGTCGCTGTTGGTGCGAGCAGAGAGTGATGGTAAGCAAAACAAAATATACAAAGCCTTTGTGTAGGGGCCACATCAGGACATGAGAATGACATCAAGGGCAAGACATATGGTTTAATGTTTTCTATACACAATCTTGGATTTTTTGTGAATGCTTCTCCAATTGTCTTTTCACATAATGCTTGATTTAACTAAAAGTTAAGTCAAGCAAAAACAATGCTTTCTGATTACATTTTGACAAGTAACAACGAACATAGAACCAACCCACACAATCTGTTACAGACGTATGAATATATAAGTCAGTGGTACCTTAAACCAACGGGAGATGTGTAGTACATACCTCTCAAAATGTATTGAGAGCCTTAATTGATGTGGGATCTGGATCAGAATTTGCAAGGGGTCTGATTTGGCCACTGGGTCTCGAGCCAACTGAGAGATCACTTGCTGTCTATTAGCCACTGTTTTAGTTGCTCTATATGTAAACAATACTATTCACCACGATTTGTGACCAGATGTATCAACTGTAACCATGCATGTAAGCCCACATGTATGTAGCCGGTATTCCTTACCTAACTTCCTTTGATGACAATAATGGGCTGACTTAGTTTTTAACCTCACAGGTTCCCTTCTGCTGGAGTCCAAAATCAATCCAAACACAGCCTACCAGAAACAACAGGTCAGTATATAGCATGGGGCAGTTATATCATCTATAATATGGATTTTCTATCTCTGTGCACTGATTTGTATATTGCATTGTTTTTCTTTTGGAAAGGATACATTGATAGTATGGTCAGAGGCGGAGAATTATGATCTGGCGCTCAGCTTCCAAGAGAAGGCTGGCTGTGATGAAATCTGGGAGAAAATATGCCAGGTAACTACACTTAGCTTTGTGTGGGTGTGTGTTGTCTGCTCCGATTGTGTATTCATTTAATAGCAAGTGTGTTTGGGTGTTCCTTATGTGACTGTTACATCTCACATCTTTCCTCTGCTTGTGTCATTGTTTAGGTGCAGGGAAAGGACCCATCAGTTGACATCACCCAGGATGTGGTGGACGAGTCTGAGGAGGAACGCTTCGACGACATGTCCTCGCCGGGTCTGGAGTTA